AATTTCCACAGAAGCAACAGAAATGAGAGATCTAATGCAAATAGGATAACTGGTGCATTAGATTCACAGCCCCTACACAATATCATTACTTTACCTGTTAATAATCACAGTTGTTTTACAGCACAAATATCAACTATCACTGTTTGTCTGATGGCTGATGTAGCCCTGCAGAAACAGACATGAGCTTCCATGTCCGACTGTTTTGTAACTGACTTCATGGTTTGTCTCTCTGAATGGCAGATTGCTCTGCTGAAGATCTTGCTCGCAGCAGCTCCGACTTCCAAAGCCAAGACGGACTCCATCAACATCCTGGCAGACGTGCTGCCAGAGGAGATGCCGTAAGTGATGAAGGGCCTCTAAAAGGGTTTAACAGCTGTGCCAGTTCCTTCTCCAGTGCAGCATAATGTTCTGAACAAGGAAAATATCCTAACTTTAGTAACAATTCTACTATTAGATTTATACCTGAAGCAGGAAAGAATTACTGGAATCTACTTTTAAATGTAGTTACACAGTTAGTGTTACTGGAGATAGTGATACTATCAGGACATTTTCACAGTATGGACACATAACCACATCAAGGAAATGTATTTCTCATTATATAACACAAGGCTGTGAAACAAAATGAAAGTTTGTAGCTTCATTACTCAGTGTTGTGATGAGTAATGTGAATGTGTATATTTTTATAGTATTGTCACCTTATAAACTGTGGGGACCCCAACCAAAATAGTGACTTATACAGGAGTTAATGGGGATCTTAACAAACAAACAAACAAACAAACAAGCTACACACACAAAAAGAGAAAATGTAAGATTATATCGCCTAACGTCTGGTTAGCAGGTTTGAAAATATATAACTAATAACTAAATATGATAGAACAGGAATAGAAGTGAAAGGTTGACTGACCTGAATAAACTTGTAGGTTTTGCTCTGAGGATCACAGGGAAACTTAAACGTACCGGGTCAGAATTGGTCAGTTTCCCCTCAAAATGGTAAAACAAGGAGGTGGAAACACTACCACGTTTGTCCACAGGGGGCGCCAGAATCAACACAAAATGTTCACAAAAGTTCCTCTCAGGTGTTTTAAAAAGGTGACTGATGTGTTACGTCTGACTGCAGGACCACAGTGCTGCAGAGCATGAAACTTGGAGTTGATGTGAATCGACACAAAGAGATCATTGTGAAGGCTATCTCTGCCATCCTGCTGCTGCTTCTGAAACACTTCAAACTTAATCACATCTACCAGGTACGGACATCACACACGTTTTGTCACAATTAACTTCTGTGGTAAATGTATCAGATATTTCCATAAATATTTGAAAGGATTAAAGAAACTTGTTTTTGTTTAATATAATTATACTTTTATAAGGAAATGTCTTTGTTTGCTTTGTTTGCTTAGTTTGAGTACATGGCTCAACACCTGGTGTTTGCCAACTGCATCCCCCTCATTCTGAAGTTCTTCAACCAGAACATCATGTCTTACATCACAGCTAAAAACAGGTACTTTGAATGCTTCTCTAAAGGACCGGTGTGTAGGATTTAGTGGCATCTAGTGGTGTTGCAGATCTGACTGAATACAGCTCATTTTTATAACCATTTACAATAAATGTCAGTGAACTGTTGCCATCATTTCACGGCTCTTAATTTTCTTTCCCTAACAGTATTTCAGTACTTGACTTCCCTTATTGTGTGGTGCACGAGCTCCCGGAGTTAACTGCAGAGAGTTTGGTGAGTTTTTTTGTTGATTTTTAGCTGTGTTTTGAGTGTTGCTTTGACTGCTGGTGTCACATTTGAGGTCATTTTAAACACGAATGTATATATATATTTCGTAATACAGGAAGCGGGAGACAACAATCAGTTTTGCTGGAGGAATCTGTTTTCCTGTATTAACTTGCTGAGGATTCTCAACAAACTGACCAAGTGGAAGCACTCCAGAACAATGGTAAGAGCTCATCAAGTAGCATTCAGATCCTATCGTCTTATCATGAATTAAAAATATAATCTTTTATATATGATGTTCTCCCTCCTAGATGCTGGTGGTGTTTAAGTCCGCTCCCATCCTGAAGAGGGCGCTGAAGGTCAAGCAGGCCATGATGCAGCTGTATGTCCTCAAGCTGCTCAAAGTGCAGACCAAATACCTGGGACGCCAGTGGAGGAAGAGCAACATGAAGACCATGTCGGCCATTTACCAGAAGGTCCGACATCGGCTCAACGACGACTGGGCGTACGGGAACGGTGAGTGGAAACACGGAGAATACATCGTGAATTCAGTGATGATGGAAGGTTCGGCCTGGAGAAAGAAGGAGGATTATATAAAAGCTGTAATAAATATTATGTGTATATTATTGATTTGAGGTGATTTCCAGTCGTTTTCAGTGTATTTGGTTCTAATTAGAAATGAGACAATTAGAAGATGAACTCTTCGAGTCGACTGAAAGAAAATGAATTGGCAACTATTCTGGTAATCAAATAATGTTTAATGCAAAAAAATAGAAATAAAAATCACAGGTTCTGCTTCTTAAATGGGAATATTTTCTAGTTTTCTTAGTCAGTAAACTGAATGTCATTGGGCTTTGGTCAGAGAAAACACATTATATGCTGTATATTGTTTTCTCTTGGGTTGAGGAAATTACGATGGTATTTTTCATCATTTTCTATAATTTATAGACCATTAGTTAGATTAATGATATTAATCAGTATTAAAAATAATCGTTAGTTGCAGCCCTGGTCCAAATCAAGTTCAGAATTGTTGGGACACACACTGAGTTGTATTTCCGCTCAGACCAAAGTGGACTAAATATGAACTTCTGTTTGTTTTCCCGGAGCAGATCTGGACGCTCGTCCCTGGGACTTCCAGGCTGAGGAGTGTGCTCTGCGGGCCAACATCGAACGCTTCAACAGCCGCCGCTACGACAAGAGCCACAGCAACCCGGACTTCCTGCCTGTGGACAACTGCCTGCAGAGCGTTCTGGGTCAGCGGGTGGACCTGCCCGAGGACTTCCAAATGAACTACGACCTCTGGCTGGAGCGGGAGGTCTTCTCCAAACCTATTTCCTGGGAGGAACTGCTACAGTGAGAATCAACAACACCGTCAGCATCCTCACACAAGAAATAAAACCGCTTCAATCAGGAGTTCTGACAAACCACCAACCGTGCTCTCACTGATCGATCTCAGATCACAGCATTATGTTACATGTTCTGTACAGACTGAAGGTGACGGACGGACTTTCATTCTCAAAGTCACCCAGGTATAAACTTCGAATCATCGCACCCACCGAATGCTCTGCGTGATGAACTATCGAGACTCTTTCCCACACTAACGTCACCCACAGTTTTTTTAATAAAATAGCTGAAAATCAATCCAGTGCTAAGTCTTGCTCATATGTGGACCCGGCCTCTACCTTACATATACAGGTGTTTGCTTTGTGTGCCTCTTACCTGCTACAAAAGGTCCGTAAGTTTGACCTCGAAGCACTACATGACAGTATGTTCACTCGTAATTTACTTGGAATCATTTTTTATTTTCTTTTGCATTAACTGTTAGGACTCAAACAAAGGTGTGTGCACTTTGTTGAGGCAGGGCTCAGCACATTTAAGTTGTTAATAAATATACATTTTCCTGGTACATCTCATGAGTTTACCTTCTTCAGAGAGGTGAAAAGGAATATTTATGTACAAATACAAACATGTTACTAATAGTTATTTCCTGGCAGGGATAAACTTCTTGTTTACCTGACTCACCCTTCGTTGTTCTGCTTCATTTGCATATGATTTGACTTTTATTTTGAGTTTCTCCCCTGAGTGCTGCCTACACACCTTTGCTCTGGGACCATGGAGGTGACCGTTTAGACCTTACCTGACCACCAGGCTGAATGGACAAGACAACACGGCCTTGTTTTGTTTTTTTAACCTCATAAGTATCTTAAATTGTTTGTTGTGTGGAAAAAATGGTTTCACGTGTTCACATGATTTGACTGTGTGAAAGAAACATTTCTGGTTTTTAGAGCTGCGGTCTCTGAGCTTCACTTGTCAGACGGCTGTTTTAAACTGAATGGGATAAATCAATTTAATTGCCAGTTAAAGAACCATTTTCCTCTGTCTTTTTTCTACTCTTCTTCTTTGTTTTATTATAAAGGGTTAAGGAAATGAGAATACATGTAAATTGTGAAACTTATTTATCATGGCTTTGTCTTTGTTTTACATTGACTCAAATACTGTAATAAAATGATACTGTCATTCATGTTGCATTCATTTATTTGATAGTGGTAGGGGAGATACAGACAGGAAATGTGGAGGATTTACCGTCTATTAAAGTGAGTCCCTTGGCTGTGATCAGTATTGTGATGTAGATTCTGAACAGAATGTCAGGATATGTCAGACATAAAATAAAATAATAATTTTATTATAAAATTGGTAAAGTTTTGACTTAATTCAGGAAGTTAAAGTGTGTAAACAAGCTCTAAAGAAGCATCAAATGCTAACTTTTGGTATTTAATAGTTTCTGATGCTGTTTTTGGCTGCTGCTGTTGGAGGGGATCTTAAAGTATGCTCATATAACATTAAACACGTGTATTGGAAACAGGAATTCCCCTCTTTGTTGTATGGCCAAATAAAACTGAGCAACAATATAAAAACGTACTGGATGTATGTAAAAAGTTTTCTTCACTATCACTTTTTTGTGATATTGTAACTGGTCACTGAGGATAATGTGCCTGAAACAAGAAAAGTTGACAATTAACACTGAGAAATCAATACAGAACAAAATATATAGTATCTGTATTAAAAAAGTATAAATTATTACATAATTATTACAATCCTGAAGCATTGACTCACCACAGCACTGTTATGTTTCTCCCTCCCTGAAAATAATTCAAATAATGAAGTCACACCCATCTCCTCTCTGATATCAGGAAACCACACACACACATTACACAAACCTACTAAATCACTTTACCAGGAAACGAAACCAAACTTGTAATAGCCCGCCTTTGTGCACGCAGACATGGCAGAGCCTCGTATCCCTGTGAAGATGAACCGCCTCAGCTGTCCAATCTGCAGCGAGGTCCTCAGGAATCCTGTGACTATTCCCTGCGGACACAACTTCTGCATGCAGTGCATCCAGTACCGCTGGAACAACTCTCCCTTCAGCTGTCCTGAATGTGGCCATAAGTTTCCCTCCAGACCCCAGCTGATCAAGAACACAACTCTGGCTGACTTGGTGAGGGACACCGAGAGGTGTGATGCTGACTGTGCGAGTGGGAAACCACAGCATTCGGCAGTCTCCACGCAGACCCTGAAAAGACCCTGGAGCTGTACAAAAATGAAAAGCCCTTTATGTTGGAGGCACAGATGCTCCCTGGATATTTACTGTTGCACTGATGAGCAGGTCATTTGTGCACTGTGTGCTTCAGCTGAGCACAGGGGACATACCATTGGGTCGGTGAAGGGAGAAAGGAAGAAGAAACAGGTACGTAAAACAAACAGAAACACAAAGAATAATGCAACTTCTGATTTGTTTTTAAAGTTGAAACCAAGTAAGGAGACTTTACCAACTGTAAACCTGTTAAATATGGGAACATATGAGAAAAACAAACAAAAAAAAGCTTTTTTTTTAAATTTGATCCAGGGCTCAAATTTTCACCGTGTGGTCAGTTAGGGATCCCAGTGTTTAATTTGCCATATATACTGTAACCAGTCTGTGAGTTGTGAAAGATCTGAGTCACTGCAGTTCATCCGGTGCTGCAACTTTATCCCAGAAAAAGAATTACATCATCTGCATTTATACATGTTGAATCATCACTTTAAATTACTTCCACTTATTTCTAACACTTGGGAAAACGGCGGCAATCAGTTACCTATGAATGCACCTTCACGGCCAGTTTGCAGACAAAAAAATGTGAAAGGATCAAATGTTTCATTCTGTGTAGAAACAACACAAAAGAAGCAACTACTTTCCAAAGTAGATGCCCAAACAGACTTTAACAGGCACAAAAATTATGCTTTTTAAAGTTGCCAAGCCTACAACCAGTTTCACAAAACTAAAAATAAATATTGTGTATTTCTATCCGACTCACACTGAAGGAGGAGCTGGAGATCAGACAGATTGAATCCAAGCAGATTCTCAAGAAACAAGAAAATAAATGTAGGAACTTGGAGAGGACTCTCAAACAGATTCAGGTGAGCAGAACACGTGACCACGGTGTCTACATACTGTATGTACGCTTCAAACATTTAACATAAACTCGTGCACAAAACAGGAGGAGGCGAGAGATACAGACGACTACTGTGAGAGCGTCTTGGTCAGCGTCATCGACTCCCTCCAGAGACATTACCTATCAGTGAGAGAGCTGATCAGAGCTCAGGAGGAGGCTGCAGCCGCTCAGGTTCAGATCTCCCTACAGACCCTGCAGGTGAAGATTGATGAAATGAAGAAGAGGAGTGCTGAGCTGGACCATCTGGCACAGACTGACAATGATGTCCATTTCTTGGAGGTACTGTGATCACATCGCTAGAAACTTGAATCTTTCTAATAGAAGATGTTTTAATGTCTCTGTCTCTTTCCCAATCCGCCCTCTCTGCACAGAAATGGCCCACTCTGCAGCGCCTCTGTGACGAAGACCTTCTCCGTGCTCTCCGCTGGGTTTCACAGGATCCACTGCTCCCCTTTGAGTTCACAAAGAAAGCTGTTGACAAGCTCGGGAGGCAGCTTGAGGAATTTTGTGACAAAGAATTCACCTCAATCTCTCAAACTGGTATGTATCTTTGTCGACATGTGGAAATATTTTAACATCAATCATAGTTTGGCATTTTGGGCCTTTTCATTTTTTTTTCATTTCATTCACATTTATTCAATATAGCTGACAGGGGAGAGCAGCAGGAGTCAGGAGGAGAGACAGAGCAGGACGACATGCAGCAAGGATGTGAAGCCAGTACCTCACAGTCCCATGGTTGGTATTTAACAGTTATTATTTTAGAAGAAGGTTTTCAACCTCCTCTGTTAATTAAAATAATTTTCACCAACATATGAAACATTGTTTCATATGTAGCATAAGCAGTGCTTTGCCCCTGATGCCAATCAGCCAATCAGTGTTAGACAGAAGGAGCGTTGTAAGCATCACTAAAGTTTGAGCAATAAAACTGTATTTTGTGGTTCATTCTGGGTTTACTGGATTTTTAATAATTAAAAGCTTTTTTTTGTCAAACATCCCTATTGTGAAAGAAGCCATGTGTCATGTCAGTATACTAATGACTTAAAATCTTAATTTAAGAAAGAAAAATGTAATTCTATTAAGCCTCTTTTATCATTTTCTTTATTAATAATAAAGGCTGTATTCCATTTTGATGAGCCAGTTTCAGTGTCCTCTTATTGGCTTACTGAGACACTACTGTGACAGAGCCATCATTAATGTTACTAGTAACTGTGCTTTTACTACTACGACACGTTTTTCAGCAGTGGCACTTAATGATGCTTTGAAATTGTCTCATAGGTCTCACTGGAGTTAACAAGACTCTGACTGATCGGACTGCGGAGCCTAAAACCAGAGCAGAGTTCCTGCAGTGTGAGTTTATCCTCTTATGCACTAGAATAACACTCATCAGTACTTTGGTCCACGATACTTTAACCTCACATATAGACAGGACATACTTAAGTATTGTACTTCAGTGCAGGTTACAGGTACCTTATTTGAGTATTTGTGGTTTATATTACTTTATGCTTCACTATATTTATCTGGTAGCTGTGGTTAGTATTTGCTGTTTATACAACAATACAACATATTAAAGATTAAATCAGTGGTTCCTGATCTTTTTGGCTTGTAACCCTAATAAAAACCCCAGATTTGGGCCTTTTGTCACGTTGCTGAGTTGTAAACTGTTCCATCTGACACATTTCCCCTCTAAACGTCTAAATAGTCAAATATTTCACAATAAAGAAAACATTCCAGAAAATATTTTTAAAAACTTTATTTTTTATTCTTTCAACCACATTAGCCCACTCACGACCTCCCAGATTTATTTTGTGACTCTTGCGACTACTTTTACTTTTCATTCTTCTACTACATTTTGCTGATAGTTGTGATGGAAAAACTTAGATGATGAAGAATTAAGAGGCCTTGATGACTTACGCAGCAGGATTTATGAGGCTTGATTGAGGAGAATATGGCTCAGCAGTGTAACACAGTGCAGTACCAACCTGAATCTGAAGGTTATGGGGGGGATATTTAACGTAGGCCCAGACCCACAAGGACAACACGTGTCCTAGCCTACACTGGGAAATATTTGTGTAAATCAGGTTTGAGAATGATTCAAAACAAGTTCTTAGATCACCTAACTCTCCCTCTATCCCACAGGATGCCACCTAAAACCCTCTATGGGGAGAGACAGACCCTGGGCAATAGCTATAATCTCATCCTACAGGCAACATGTGCTCCAGCTTGATTCTTATCACCACAACTGTTGTAGAGTCAGCATACAGGACACTCCTAGGGACTGTTGAGGAAAGGGGTCTCTTTAAACCCTTAGCCTCGTGTGTTCTTTAATGAAGCGATAGGAGAAGATTTAGTTTCAACAAAAATCAGCTTTATTCTTAACACCAGTAGAATGTGCAAAGTTTACAGAGCTCCTGGACCGAAATCTCTAGTATCCTGACAAGCAACAAAGTGTGTGTCAGTTCACGAAGTCTGAACTGCTATCTCTTCCTGGTCCAGTGTGTTAGTCCATCAGTGAGGAACGTCATAGTAAGGCGTTGTCCCTTCCCATCAGCCGATGACGTATTCCCTCCTCGTCCTCGTCCTCGTCCTCGTCCTCGTGGTATCTGACTCCAACGTTATGTTGACGTCTCCGGGTGTAATCTGAAACTTTACATACAAATAGACAATACGCCTGTTCTTTGCTACAGATTGACTAGCACTCTCTGTTCTTTGCAAAAGATTCTAACTATCTATCTAACCTTCGCATGTAACTGACAACTTATTCATTTTCATATATGGAGTTGTTTTGCATGATTATGTGGCGCTCCCTTATATCTCAAATCCTGTTTTACGGCTATCTATCTATCTATCTATCTACTTATCTATCTATCTACTATCTATCTATCTATCTAGGTCTTTATTGCTTACTGCTGCAGAAAACAGCCTCTATATGGGGAAATTGTTGGTGTTTTAGTTATAACCACATAACTGGGTCTCATTATCAGATGCTGATTTTCTTTTTAGGCCAACTGTTTGCGACCGGTGTAGATGCACTGTTTCTCAGGAGCTGGAGCAGCAGGAATAACATCCTGCCAGAACCCAGCTTTACACCATGGTTGTCCCAAAGTCACAAGATGAGCAAGTGCCTGCTAGTGGCTCTGTGGACAGAGGCACCAGCCAACAGTACGGATCCAACCCGTCCTCATATCAACAATCTGGAAGCCCACAACATTTTAGCTCAAATGGGAATATTTCACCAGTCAACACCAGGCCCCATGAGCCACAGGAATACACTGAGACAGACTTTTTACTCCCAAATAAACTGTACAGAACGTCAAGGTTCAGTGGATCCATGAGAGCAAAGGATGCAGATGGCTCCGGTGCACCAGCTGAGACAGTCTGCTCCATAGTGATTCAGATCCTGGTGCCATTTCTGTTGGCCGGGTTTGGGACAGTCTCTGCCGGGATGCTTCTCGAAGTGGTTCAGGTGAGGAAACAAAGGAAAGCCGAGGAGGACAAAGAGGTGGTTTAGAGTTTAGATGAGATCTTAACCCATAAGAACCCAGACCCATTTCTCCTTGAAGGAAAATTATGGGGGATATACCACAGAACAAATGGAACTTATAGAACATATTTATTTTTTAAATGTCAAATATTTGTTTTGTGACACATAAGTCACAATGAAAGTTTTTGGTAAATATAATATTTTATTAATACCTTAATAATGTGACATTATTTTTTGTTTATATATTTCTTAAAATATACTTTAAATTGAACAACAGGGCATATATTAATCCTATATAATTGAAACATTGAAATTAATTGAGTGGCCTATTACTTTTTTTGTTATTGTGACACAGATGTCACACCAGATTTTCTATGACGACTTCAGAACTTGTTTTATATTATTTGGTTCAGGAAATATGGTGAGAACAGGTTAAATACAATACAGGACATACTATTAAGGTATTAGAATTGTTAAATGGGTTTAAACTTACCTTATAAACAAAAAACAAGCTTTTTGAATTTAGCTACCTCCTTTATTTCTGTCATTGCTGTCAGTTCAGTCAGAGGACACTTCCCGTCACAGTCACATGACTGTCATATGACCACCACACCAGGATGTTTTGTAGATGTAACTTAGGGACTTAATGAGTTAAGGTCAAGCATAACGCTGTATATGGAGATTCAAGGATATTTAAAGTGTGTGTGACACACGTGTGACCATGGGTTCTTGTGAGGTCATCGTTTCTTCTCTTTCTAAAAGTTGAAGAGAGGAAAGAAATCAGAAGAGTTAATGTAGGAACGTTTTAATGTTGTGGAAACTGATGGAATGAAGGACTGGCATTGATAAACACGAGAATTATAAAATAAACCAAACAAAACTAATTTTAATTTCAAAGTTGGTGTGTTTACTTTATCACCTTGAAAATATAAATGATTCATTCATTGTGTGTCTGTGGTTCACCTTCAGTTTTTCACCTTCTGTGTGTTTTCATGGCAGAACTGGGACGTGTTCCAGGAAATCACAGAGATCTTCATCCTGGTCCCTGCAGTATTAGGCATGAAAGGGAACCTGGAAATGACTCTGGCCTCTAGACTCTCGACTGCTGTGAGTGTCTGCATGCTAACACACACAAACTCACACATACACACAATAAATAAATCCAGTGGGTACCTACAACCTAATTTCTAGGAACTATTTTTTGCCTTGTTGCATAATGGGTTTTCTGTCCCCATGTGAAACTCTTCACAGACCTGCGAAGACCACAGCAGGAGATCAACCTCCAGTACAATATCCTGCAGGGAAAATTAATAACAATAGTCCATCAATTCAGATAACCCGAAAAGATGGTTTCCTGGAAAAGAAGAGCATATAATGATCAAATATTATGATAATTCTTGTTCGCTAACATGCCAAAGATTATTCCTGTCTGTCATAGAACTCCAAAACAATTAAAAGCACATCAATGAGTCACACTGTCTCACTGGGTGATGTTCCTTCATTACCATTAAAAAAGGAAGAAAAACTAGTCTTTGGGTCTAAAGGGTGGTTTGGCACTCTTATTTGAGTTAATGTTGCTAAAAACCAGCTGGTAGGAAAGTAATGAAACACATTGTTGGCGTTGGTGTTTTTAATAAGATTAGAGACGAGAAGATAAGATAGACTTTATTGATCCCACACTGGGGAAATTCACTAGCTACAGCAGCTCCAGATACAACACAGCAGATAAGAATACACAATAAATAAAAAAAAAGAAAAATACAAGATATAAGGAAAATAGAAAAAATACAATAAGAGTTGTATGTAGACTATATACAGCCTTTTTTTATACAGATGTGATTGATATGGAACATTGAACAGGTTACAGCAGGAGGTAGAGCATTGGGGTAAATATATATATATAGTAGTATAGATTAGTGGAAATATAGGTGGTAGACAGGGCTATGAATATACAGTATAGGTCTAATACTAATAATGTGTGGGTAGGAAATTATATTTATCTATATCTATCTATCTCTCTCTATATATGTGTGTGTAAAAACTGTACAGTAGTAATAGTGCAAAAAGTGACTGTGATTGGTGTTGACAGATGTTACAGAGACAAACAGTGCTACTCACTGGTTGCTGAGTTATAGAGTCTGACAGCTGTTGGGATGAAGGACCTGCGGTAGCGCTCCTTCTTGCACTGAGGGTGCAGCAGTCTGTTGCTGAAGGAACTGCTCAGGGACCCCTTAGTCTAATGCAGGGGGTGAGAGGTGTTGTGCGTGATTGACGTCAGCTTGGCTAAGACCCACCTCCTTTACGGAGTCTATAGGTCAGTCCAGGACAGAAATAGCCCTCTAACCCAGTTTGTTGAGGCCCTTTCTGTCCCTCTCTGGGTTTCCATTTCCCCAACAGACTACACCTTTGTGTTTCTGGCATACATGATTAAGCTATTACCTCTCTGTATTCCTAATGGCAGTATCATTAGAAGTCCTCTGCAGATGTCAATTTCTTGTGTTCATGGAATATAGAATAACACCAATCTCATCCTTTAAGGTCACCTTTTTTAGGTCACAACTTGGTGCTAAGATTATACTGTTATTGATTAATTACTTCTTGTTTTTCAGATCAGTTTTAAACTCTTGATTAAATATCTGTCACACATACACTCATAGTCTTTACAGAGAAAATGTAATAGCTCTGGAGATTTCAGTCATATCAGGAAATAGAGTTTTCGCAATTGTGATGAAAATGTAGATATATTTCATTTTGATTATGTTGTCAGGTGAATGCAGGAAAAATGGAAACTGCCAGAGAAAAATGGATGTTAATCATTGGGAACCTGGCACTCAAGCAGGTACATTATTTTATTACAGAGCAACTTTGTGGCTAATTATGTGGATTTAATCTTCCAATCAACCATTACTTTTTATCTGCAGAATTTTATGGCAATCTACCACAATTTGTGGGTATTTTCTTACTACCACCCTCTTTCTACAGCTACAAGCCACGGTGCTCGGCCTGTTGGCCTCTTTGATGGCAACTGTGTTGGGCTGGATGGCAGAGGGAAAAATGCCCTTCAATCACGTAGTGCTACTGTGTTCAGCCAGTGTTTCTACTGCCTTCATGGCTTCACTGCTGCAAGGTAAAAACACAACCTGCTGTCACCTTGAACCAATGTCTTTGATCTTTCTTTGAGTGTAATATGAGACAAGTGCATCACACACCTACACACATCGTTATTAAATCCATTCAAACCTTTTTGACGTCCCAGTTTCTCCCTCTCTACTTCACCCATGATCTCAGGATTCTTCATTAAGTTTAATTAGGTATAAAACATGCATTTTACATTTACAGGTGCTGGCCCTTGTATTGGGCCAGCACCCCACATCCCATCATTCTTCCCTGCTTTTTCTGCACAAAGGCTACTACCAACTAATTCTTTCTCTTTTAAGCCCCCTTAAAGCTGTTCTGTACCCTATTTTCTGAGCAAAGAGAGTCCTAAATACCTGAAAAATGCACTTTTCTCAAAAACTTTTCTTCTGGCTTGGTTAAATGAGCTGATCTCCATCATAGAAATTATTCTAGAAATAGAAGTATGAACAGAGGGATGGTGACAAGGAGCATGTAGGACATTGAAATCAATTCTGCATTCTTCTGGTTGACCCACAAGTTGAAATTCGGCATTGGACTAATTATATAGATACACATCATGTCAAAAAAATGATTCATGACTTTGGCCTTTGACCCCACAGGGGGTTTTCATACATGAAAAAAGAGAACCACTGACCTAGGCCCTCCTCATCCATTCTTAAATAAGAGTTTAGGGACTTTCTAGTTGCATTCAGGTCATGTTCAGGTCTATGAATGGCGTCAGGACTGATCCAATGTCCCCTGACAAGAGAGAGAGGATCTATGTACTTGATCTCAAACTCAAAAGTGACAGGTACCACGTCACGCCCTTTCACCCACCCCCCAAGAAAGGTTCAAAAAATGTTGCAGTCCAAATTTCCCCCTGACCCCTATTGTTTCCAAAGTCAAAAAAAAGGTCAAAATGTGCTTGTCAATTTCCACCACCCCCAACCCCCAAATCAAAGGTACGGTCCTTCCCCCCACCCTCTGCGGATGCTACAATGGAATATGAGGTGCGGCTTTTCACTGTCGTAAAATGCCCAAGAAGTTAAGCCTTGAGGGTAAACATCACAGCCATCCTGTGCACTTCTTAATGTCGTCAGGGGTTGAAATGCAGAAGTATCGGACAACACTTGGAGACCGGGGAAAGCAGCAATCAGCGATAACCCTTTAACGATCTTCAAAGAGAACGCAGTCTAAGTACCTCCGGGAGTACGGGGGAGTGAAAGGGGGCGTGGTCAACCCTGCAGCTTTTGACGTTCGAGCATCAAGTAACATCAGATCTCTCTCTCCTCCCTGACAGATTAAGACTCTTTACCTTTGCCGTACACTCCCTCCTCTACGTGTGATACCATACCGGTTGGAGTGACGTATGCGC